CCCTGCTGCATGATACATTTGCACACAGCATGTGTCCCAGAAGCTTCAATCAGGTTTTCATTTGCATTACCAGTTGCGCATTAAGTCTTTGTTGTGGCAGGTATGCCTTTTGGCACCTTGGAATCTAACACTGTTCCTATGAATTCGCTGCTTTGTGTGGGAGTCAGTGTGGAATTGTCCTTCTTGACTCCGACATCCAGAGACGCAAAGAGGTCTTTTGTACAGAGTCTTTGACCTGTTGTGCAGAAGAAATTCATGTCAGCCACTCATCCAAATATGGGTACACCTAGACTCCTTGTCTCTTTAGATGAGCTGCAACCACAGCAAGGACCTTGATAAAGACTCCTGCCAGACTACTGGACAGACTGAAGACTGTACTGACAGTGTGATATTCCTATCATGAATTGCAGGAATCTTTTGTGTGGCAGCAATATCAAGATGTGGAAGTAAGTACACCCTGGTTGAGAGCCATTAACCAGCCTATAGGACCCAAAGAGATGATGGAGGAGGCTAGGATGACTATCCAAAACTTGGAATGTCAAGCGAAGGCACTGAATCTTGTCTTATCTAGGATGCATCATCACCTGCTCTTCTTTGGGATCAAGGTGTAGTGGGAGTAAAAAGCTTTCACTCTGAATTATTGACTTTGGTACCAGTCCCAATGATAAGTCTGCCAGTGTTAAGAAGTGTTTCAGCGCCAATGGGCTCCTTCGTGCTAGTAAAACACTCTGTTGCCTTGGCCACCATAATGCTCAGTGCCAAAAAGCTAAGTATAAATTTCCTCAGTGCCAGAGTGATCTACACTGAGTCTTTCAGTACTGGTGCGCAAGATGGTACCGCAGGGTCAGCCACTTGGATGGTATTGGGTGCAGTAGAGTGCTTACTTAAGAACGTGACTGACTGTGTCCCTTCTGTGGGAGGCTTAGAAGAAGATTTCTGTCTCCTAGAGAAGAAGCAGATCTATGCCATTCTTGGTATGGGTCTCCTTTTGGCCCGTGCTCTGCATCAAAGTGGAAGTCACCAAGGAGCAAAGCTTGTGAGCGTCCCTCGAGCTTAGGGTAGCAGATAGCACTGCAGCTCATAGGAACAACTAGAGGAGTGAGACTGGCTAGGAGGAGGTGGTCTCATAGCTGGCTTGACTGGGTCAGACAGCGTTTCCATAGAAGTCTCCATTAGATGTTCAGTCTACCTTCTCTAAATGTTTATGTGCAGTAGTCTAGCATAAGCTCTTAAGCACAGAAGGTATTTAGCATGACCATCGTTTATAGATATTGCTGAGTCACAGGAAGGGCAGATCCTGATTCCTGGAGCTTTGCCTTCAGCCATTTTGGCTTCCTGAACAGGACAATGGTTGCAAAATCATATCAGTGCCCTATTTCCACAGGGAATGTCTATTTATTTTTAAACCAACAGGTATACTACCTAACAACTGTAGATAATAAATTGGAACTGTAGCTAATAAATCTTTCAGGTTGAGACAGAGATACTGAATAGTTCTGTCCCACAGCCAAGGGCATTAAGAAGGAACCTGATAGATGGCTGAGGCTGCCCTATCTCTGCTAAAGTGGTAACAGGTCAAAGGCACAACCATAACAGACACTCTTATTCAAAAGGAATCTGATCTTATGTGCAAGAGGTGCATATGTATCAAGAGTGGAATCTGTATGGACACTTGAAGAACCACCTCCAAATCTCTGTGATTATCTTTGCCAACCTCTTGGGAGGGGAAACTTCCTATCCTTCTGAGTCTGCTCAGGGAAGTGTCTGAAGTCCCATTCTTCTGTAAATCCTTTTCTCAAAGTCTTCACTTTAGGTACTGTACAGCTTGTCAAGGATTTATTAAGGTTTATCTATTTTAGGATTTTGTTCTGCAAATCATTACCATAATATCTAAGGACTTGCCACATAAAATAAATTGGTAACCCGCATCCTTAGTGGACTTCTTGGAGTCTCTGGCTCTTTTGCCTTTTTAGGATATAAATATCTCTGCCTGGGATAAGTGAGTTTTGTTTTTAAAGGGGATGGTTGATATTTGTGAATGTCATTCTGGATGCGGTGGAAAAACTGTATAAAGAGAATGATTTTGCAGAATTTCCTAAAAGGTAAACACACACTGTATTCAGGATTATAGATCTCTGTTAGATTAATGATCTCAGGTCAGAAGAGGTGAAGAGGTAACAGCTAGGCCTTCAGGAGCAAATCGGCCAGCTTTGTGAGCAGACAGGGCTATGGACTCCTATATCTCTTGAACCACTAAAGAGAAATCCTCCTCCAGAAAGTGTTCCATACTGCTCGACAACTCCTCCAACACCCTTTGGCAACCAAACATCCAAGTTTTAGAGCAAAGCCTGAGAGAGATACCTTCTGTGCCTCGTGTGGAGGTGAGTGGGAATTAGGACATTGAGAAACGCGGTGTCCTCAGCCTAGGAAACTGATGTGCTGCCTTAAGTTTTGGGGAGTGGCAGAAAGAGTTGAACCAAGAGAGGATGCCAAGAAACCTATACTAAGAATAGTCTATTCTTATCAGAGTGAAGCATGAACAGGAATCTAATCATTCCAAAATGGAGTAACTGGTACCCAATTAAAAAATAAGGTTAAGACTATGTTGTAAAATGATTCTCCTTGTTTAACTCACAAGATAAATATCAGTCTAAAGGTACGTCTACAATAAATAAAAAAAAAAAGCCATAGCAGCAAGTCTCAGAGCCCAGATCAACTGTTCAGGCTTGCATTACAGAGCTAAAGTTAGTAGTGTAAATGTTCCCACTCAGGCTGGAGCCCAGGCTCTGAGACCCCCTTGACAGATTTCAGAGCCCAGGCTCCAGTCTGAGCAGGAACTTCTATATTGCTCATTTTAGCCCTGTAGCCTGAGCCCCACAAGCCCGAGTCAGTTGACCCAGGCTCTGAGACTCACTGCCACAGATTTTTCTTTTTGCCATATAGATGTTCCCTTAAAGGCTCAAGGGGCAAAGGATATTACTTTTACAGTGCTCCAACACAATTAATCTAAGAAGTGATGAACAAGATTTACAATTAATTGGAGTTGTCCAAATATTATGCCTTCAGAAATCCATAAACTTGGAGTAATGCACCCCTTCTCCCCTGCTTCTATCTCACATACTCCACAAGACATTATTGTAATCTTGCACAGAATATCTTCCCATCAGCCTTGTAGGAGCAGGAGGAAAGAGACCATTGTGAAATCCTCATTTTTAGCTCTGTTCTTGCTGAGTTACTGGGAAAGAAATATTCATAAAAGCCTAGACAAAAGTTTTCAGCTACACACACAAATCAGAAAGGAAGCAGAGGAAATGCCTCTCTCTGCCCTTCCCTCACCATCATCCCACATAAACAGAGGAACTCAACAGTACAGAAAAACACCTATGATCCACCTGTACATAATCCTTCCCAGGCAACATATGCAGGAACAGAGTAAAACTGACATGGTTTACAATCTGCTGCTGCTCCTTTTGCCATGTTCAGAAAACTCTGTGGAGAGAAACAGAAGTCCTAGCACAATCGTCTGCAAAACTGTCTCATAAGATTTGTGTATTTTAAATCCAGGTAAAAATTATATTTAGGACTGACACACCTTCTTGTTGTTCTAATGTGCTTAAGTTCAGAGCCACATATCTTCTACACTGAGACGGTAGAGTTCCATAAGAAAATTAATTGGATGGTAATAAGATGATGAAAATTACAATACTATTTTGCAATTACTCTATATAGCACTTTTGACCCTAAAGGATCAAAAAATGCTATATAAACATGACAAGCTTCAACTTCTGATAGTTAAGTACTATGCCCATTTTACATATGGGAAAACCAAGCAAAAAAGGTTAAGTGAGTTGCCCAAGGTCACAAAGTGGATATTAGTGCAACATGTACAACTTGAGAGGTCTGACTGCCAACTATGTGCTCTAAACACACTCCCTACAACAGATAATTTTTCAACAAATGCACAACTAATTCCATATTAATAAAAAGTCCTGACTCATCCCCAAAGATGACCATACTGAAAGATTTGACATGAAAAAAATTCCTCATTTATGGAAGGATATGTGGTCTTGCTCCTAATTTGTTTCATATAATGCTCTCTGGAATAAGAACAAGAAAAGCAAGACCTATAATATCTGACCTTTCCTGTGAATAATCTTAATGCAGACTTCATCTCTGGAATTAAGACTGGGATCATGATTTAGTCGTTTTAGCTATCTAGTTCTTCACCAAAAAGTCTATGCCCTCTAAAGGGAAGAACAGCAACGGCAACTTAAAATGGTAAAGTCTGCTGCTACTAAGAACTTATCCAGGGAGCAATTATTATTCTGGAGGTGTAAACAGCAGCATTGGACCAAAATGCAAGTTTTTCTCAAGACTGTGCCTTAGACAAGCAACATGTTCCTTCAGGGACACATTTCCCTCTAAGAGAATAAAACGCACTGCATGCTGCTTTTGCGGGATTCAATTGTAGAACAATTCTTTCTAGCAATCTAGCTTGTACACAAAGAATTAAATGGAAGGATTTGGTGTCTGGGAGTCCTCCAGAGAGCCTTTAAAAAGTATTTATTTAATATATTGAGGGGAATGCTTATTGTTTTTTTCTCCCAACTTGATCCCAAAAGGACATGAATTCAGAGATGCTCAAGTGTTGAGACAGATCCAAAACATGAAAACCAAAAAGGGGTGGGGGACAGGAAATAACTGACTTTTGTACAAACCACAGGAAGTATAAAGTTTCCTTTCCTGTATTTGAGAACACATTCTGAGCTGAATGAACCAGGGCTGTTGATAGCGACGTTTATTTCCATGAACCTAAATGGGGCTAAAACCAGCTGACGAGGCCTTCGATAATTTTCATAAGATATGAGCAAATATTTTCATAGAGGAGCCATGAACAGAAATCTGAGAGAGATGGTAAAGATGTACTGAAGAATATTACCAAGTTGAGGTGCAGGACTGATGAGAAGTATTTGGCTAGGGAGCATTTCTGAGACGCTTACCTCCTTTGAAGTCTGTTGGCATCAGGATGAATGTTAGGTGTCCTCGGGCTGCCATCCCTTTGAGGGGAGGGAGATACAGACGAGCCCAAAGGTTCTCTTCTAAACACAAATCCTTACCCGAAGCTGGCCAAAAGGTCCCTGCAATCAAAGAAATCATTGTCGTTTTGCACGTGGCGCATTCAGGTCCTTTTGTCAAGGTTTGTCAGCCTTCTAACTTGTCCAGCCACAAAAAGAAAAAGAAAAATCATCTGTTGTGCAGCCAAGACAGAACAGAGACTAGGGAAAGAGAAGGAAACGTGGGCATTTTTAGACACTGCTGTAACTCATGTAAACACAGGCTAAAAGATCATACACACCTAAGCAGAACAACATCTGTTGGGAACTTGGTGAACGACATCTGTAAGCAATTTTTCTTTGGAAATGTATAATTAGCTAACATTTAGACAATCTCTGCCGTCCTCAGAGCTTGAACAATCTTCTTTTAAATTTCCATACACACTTACTGGTCAATGAGTCCTACAATCTAACCTAACCATAGCAGTTAATCAATAATAATCAAAAATCATTCAACAAAACTATATTCAGTTAGCTTTGGCAACTACAGTAGTAGTATATCATTAATCCTGTGAATTTATTCTTTCCAGTAAGCCAGTTCTAACAACATTACTTGCAAAATCACTTGCTAGAAAGTGCTTAATGCAAAAATAATCAAAATTCTCTCCCAAAAATTTGACACAGTGATTAGTCCACAATCCAACAACTCTCCAAAAATCAGGTTAAATTAATTTCCTTACAGAGAATTTCACCTCTCAGGGGGAACTGTGCTCCAACAAAAGTAGAGCATAATAAATGAACTTTATAAACTAACTTTATCATAAGCTATGATTTTATTTGCTGAAAAGACCTTTTCAGCCTATATAATCATCCTTCAACAAATGCTCATGGTAAGATTAATCCTTTTCACCACAGACACTTGCCTGTACCTGCAAACTTTACACATGCAAGCACCTCCAATGAAGTTGACTGAAATACATGTATAATACTTTCCAGAGTTGGCCCATCCAAAAAAACTTTATAAACAACTAAAAAGAGGTTCCCATAACCTTCCCCCCAGTCTCCCTTCAGATTGACATCTGATCTCTCTTCCTGGCTATACTGCCAACAATTTAAACACAACATGGGAAATGTACTCAATATATTTTACATGCACAAACATATGTTCTTACTCTTCTATATCCACTCAGAGAATAACTCCGTAAGCTTTTCCATGTCCCAGGTCTGCAATCAATCTATCATCCATGACTTGTCTTTTCCCTTTACTCATTGTGTTCAGGTTGTGGATATGGAAAAGAAGCAATGGGATTTAGAACAATCAGCCCTCACTTTCCAAAACCTTTGTCTATATCCTGATATCTCCTGCTTTGATTACTGTAAGCATCTTCTCTTTAGCCTTATCATCCAACCGGCTCTTTAGCCCAAAAACATTGCCAAATTCATCTACTTTGCCCACAACTCTCATCAGATGACTCTTCCTTTTATAAAATCCCAATGGAACTTATCTTCTTTTGTAGATATTTTACTGTTGTCTTTTCAACTAACCGATTTATGAAGTAGCAACACTTAGGAATTGTACAGTCATTCCTCAATACACAGTATAACGGCCGTCAAAAACACACCATCATGTATTATTAATTAACACAGGTAAAGATTAGTATTTCCCCCCTATCCTGCTCCTACAATTACCTTCCCTCAGACCAGTTTTAACTGGTAGAATTCACTTAAAGACCCAAACCAAATACATTGATATGTTAATCCTGCAATGCAATCACAAAGTTAGCTGACTGATTTTGACTACCGAGTGATGAAACTGTAGCATTAAAACACGTGATGTAATAAAACAGACAGGCTTACCGAATCTCCAATTCCATGGTAGTGATAACCAAGGAAGGAAATCACTTAATTACACTGGTCTACAATTTTTGAGAAGTCGTCTGCTTCAGAGATAAAATGTGCTATTTTGATGTGCTGAATTCAAATATGACAATTAAAACAACTGATTGGCTACGGTTTCTAAGATATTTAAGTTTTTACATTTGATGTCTATGTATATTGTGTCGATAGAGTTTTAATCATAAATTGTAAACCTAGGTCTTTTTGTGTGTTTATGGTTGCTTTACATGATAATAGTTCACCTGTCCTGTTTATGTAACACTTTAAAAATCAGCAAAAGGGTTATATAAATAAAATTTATTATGAAACAAAAGGCAAAAAACTATTAGGTACATAGTTTAGCCCTATTCAGTGTCTACTCGGCGCTTCTTGGCTTGTCTCTTGTATTTATTAAATGGAGCATCTCTTGTCACTGTCCAGCAATAATCTGCAAGCATTGATGGGCTCCATTTGCCCTGATAGCGTTTCTCCATTGTTGCAATGTCCTGGTGAAATCGCTCGCCGTGCTCATCGCTCACAGCTCTGCAGTTCGGTGGAAAAAAATCTAGATATGAGTGCAAAAAATGTATCTTTAGTGACATGTTGCAACCAAGGCTTTTGTATGCCTTGAGGAGGTTTTCCACCAACAACCTGTAGTTGTCTGCCTTGTTGTTTCCGAGAACATTTATTGCCACTAACTGGAAGGCTTTCCATGCCGTCTTTTCCTTGCCACGCAGTGCATGGTCAAATGCATCATCTCAAAAGTTCA